TTCTACGGCAGATGGGGATTCGAATTCTGTTTTCCAGGGTCGTAGTCCAGTGCTTAAACCACTACAGCATGCTGGCTCACTTTTCTCTCTTTGCTTCTGTGCATTTTAAGTTTTAGGGGAATTCCTTTGTTAATTTTCCTACTTTTGAAGCTTTTTATAAACCCATCTACTGTGCAATTTTATATAGTTCATTTAACCTGTATTTAAAGCAACTTTTAAATATTTTAAATGGATGGTGGCTCCTAACAACTTTTGCCCTTGGGCAATAGGAAAAGCAAGGGGTATGGAAACATACAAGTCTCAGAACAGGGATGGGGATTGTGTGGTCTTCCAGATTTTGGATTGAAACTCCCAATATCCTTCACCATTGCCTATACTGGCTAGGGTCTGATGGGATTTGCCATCAAACAACATGTGGAAGGCTGTATGAATATTCCCCTTCTCAGTTCTGGAAGGGATGAGCTGGGCTGGTTTTGCCAGAAGACAAAATGAAGAGAAGTTAAATAATTCTCCCCTTGCAGGCACTTCATTTGTGTGCAGCCAAAATTGGCTTGTTCGACTTCCTTCCTTCCTTCCTTTTTCTTTTCTTCCAGATTGTGAATGTAGAAATAATGCAATCTGACATCACTTTAACTCCCACGGATCCATCCTACAGAATTCTGGGATTTGTAGTTTGATGCACTCTTTGGTAGAGAAGGCTAAAGACGTTGTAAAACTACAAATCGAAGGATTCCATAGGATGGAAGTAGAGTCCATAGCACTTAAAGTGGTATAAAATTGCATTATTTCTACATTGTAGATGCACCCCCATTAATCCCAAAAGTGTGCTACAAGATGCCTTTGCACACTGATCTAGACTAACACAGCTATGCCCCTGAATTCTATTATAATTTTCATCGCAAGTCACATGCTCTCAGCCTCAGGAGAAGGCCATGGCAAACCTCCTCTGGACAAATCTTGCCAAGAAAACCCTATGATAGGTTGGTTCGCCTTAGGGTCACCATACATCAGAAACGACTTGGAGGCACACAACATACACAACACATCTGAAGTACACTGGGTCCTTGGGATCCACTGGGGGTTGGTTCCAGGTCTTTCCCATGGATATCAAAATCTGTGGATACTCAAGTTCCACTAAAATGGTGTTCCTTATTTAAAATTACAAAAAAACAAGGCTTGCTTTTGGAATATATATATGAGAGAGAGAGAGAGAGAGAATATTTTCAAGCCGTGGATGTTGAATCCATGGATAAAAAAAATTGTGGATAGTATTCCCTAGGTGCAAAATCTCAGCCTGCTCCATACTTTTCATTGGTGTGGCAAGGCAAAGATCCTGCCAGGAACATCTCTAAACGTGGTCAGGTTTGTTTCTAGGGTGGCACATCCAAGCAGGGACATCACTAGGGGGGTGCGAGAGTATGGTTCGCACTGGGTGACACCCCAAAGAGGGACATGTATACCCAGTGTGGCTGTGTACCCAGTGTGTCACCTTTCTTCCTTGCTCACCTAGCAGCCACGCCAGCCACACCAGGTATACTCTTTGAGGTGTCACCCAGTGCGGACCACCCCCCTGCACCCTCCTGCTTGGATGTGCCACCCCAGAAACAAACCTGACCACATTTAGAGATGTTCTTGGCAGGATCTTCTCCTTGCCAACCACTGGAGAGTGTTAGAGTCCGGCATGGCTGCTTCCCCAGGCAGCCACACCAGACCCTAAATGACCCTCTGGAGCAGAGGTTGGCAACCTATGGCCCGGACTATGATTTTAAAAGCACTACCTTCTCATCTATGTTGATCTCACCTCAACACACATTAGCCAAGATTTGAACTTCTTTGCCCTTAGAGAGGGAACATGAAAAGTAAGCTACACTACAAAAGGATTAAGTTATAGTTATAGTTAACTGATACAGTTAACGTAGATCTCCAATTTTGGAAAGGAGCTATTTGCAAGTAACTAGTTATCTGTAACTATTTGCCTATAAGCTAAATGTGTACATTCCAAGTACAGGTCACCTATTTTTTATCTTTAACACACACACACACACACACACCATTAAAACTGACCCCTGAATGAATGAAGAGATGTTTTGGTGTTATTATAGCAGAAATTAAATGATATAAAACAGTTTTTCATGTTCTTCCCCATCCCAACTCCTTGGTGGTTCCTACTAGATGTGGTGGTGCTGAACAGCTCAGAAGCAATTCGCGAGGCACTAATTCAGAAGTCGTCTGACTTCGCTGGACGGCCTCACAGCTTTGTTGGTAATATTGTCCTTGTTGAATGGGAGCTTTTAAAAGGCTGGGATGAAATGACAAGATGACCATAGAGCTTACAAATCACAAGAAGCTTTGGCTTATGTTAATCATGGTTTGTTTTTTCAGCTACAAAGTACATAGATGACAACTGGAATGAATGAATGAATAAATAAATAAATGAGTCTGCACATATTTAATAGAACACAGTGCCCAACAGAGATAAAGTTGGTTTTTATCCTTTTAAAGTTGGTTTTTATCCTTAAAAATAGCCCAGCGCGTTTCAATTATCTTTATATGCCTTTCTTCAGGTGCTATTAGAAACGATCAAGATGTGAAATGGTAAAGTACAATAACATCCCAAATCCACAAAACAGTGATACCTTTATTGGACCGATCAAAATGTACAATTAGGGATTTGGGATGTTACAGCCACCCCTGTTTTCTGGATATGCGATGGTAGTTGTTGTACTAATTTTATTTTATAATTTTTGCTCTCTCTGTAATTGCCTAACATTTAATTGCCTACTGCTTTGGTAGAGGGGCGGGATAGAAATAAATATTATTATTATTATTATTATTATTATTATTATTGCATTAAATATTCCTAACATCCCTTGAAGGTGGTCATACAAATATTATCTGGCCAAAATATATTGATTTGCTTTTAAAGAATGAAACCCAAATTGCAGCTTGTATTCCTCATCTGGCAATTTCTCATTTGTTTATCTTGCGATTATTTTCTATCCCGTTTATCAATTCCTCCTTTGAAGTGATCAGCTGGGTTGGGGAGCAAGCCATGGTTGTACATTTGGATAACATGACAAGCTGTGGCTTAAAGAAACCTGAGTTTGTAACACAGCAAGAAACCATGAGTTCAGATTGTGGCTTATGGCTGGCTAACAAACCATGGTTTGTTAGTAGAGGAAGTCTGACATCACAATAAGCCAATTTCAGCAATCCACAACATGGTTAGTTATATGTAAACACAGTCATAGACCCAATTAAAATGTAACACTAAACCATGGTTACTTAACACACAGAGAGATTAACTCATGGCTAATTTGTTGACTAACCAGAGTTTCGTTAGAATCAACCAACATTCCCTATGTTTTTCATAAATGAAAAAGCACAATTTATTTTGAACTGGATGTTTTCAGTCTCTTTCTCTTACTGAATGGAGGAAAAGAAGGAAGAGTACAGATGCCCAAGGCTCCTGATTGTAAGACCCAACCATGGTTTAATACTGTAGCTGACTTGGACCATAGTAAAAATCATCCCTTGGGTAGCAATACCACAATTAAAAAATAGGCACAGGGAAGTTTCCAATCTACCCCCTAAGCACTACTTTTGTGGATCCATCTTTATTTGCATTGTATAGGTTGCCATCCAAAATGATTGCATTGATTAGAAAAAGGAGACTGCCAATTAAAACATGTTGGACTTTGTGCAAGCCAAGGCCTTCAAGTTGATTCAGAAGCTGCCTTGAACTCCATTTTGGGAGAAAGGTGGGCTATAAACCCCATAAATAGATAAATAAATACAATAAAAATTTGCATGGCTCCCCCAGCAAAGGAGATGCGGTCAAGTTATATCGGTTCATTTTTAGTAATCATAGTAGCAGCATCAATAAGTAAGTGGTTGGAGTGTCGCACTGAAAAATGGGTGATGTAGTTTCTGCTCTCCACTGAGCTATGAAATCCATTGGGTGACCATGTATCTTTTATTGGCTGCCATGGCACTAGTTCTCAACCTATGCTCCGCTCTTTCCTCTTTCCTCCTCTTTACCTGCTTAGTAAAGAGCAGGGGTGTCTTTATGGGGTGCAAGGGGTTCAGGCTGCTCTGGGTGACAGTTCAGAGGGGGTGTCACTATAGGATGCGGGGGGTTCAGACTCAGGATTCGGCATGGTGTGGCATGGGAGAAGGTCAGAGGGGAGGTGACACCATGAGTTGCCACACCAGGTGATGCCAACTCTAGTGATGTCCCTATAGCTGGGTGTTAGAGCAAGTGCTTTGCACACAGGAGGTCCCAGAGGTTTTCCCTTGGTTGTCAAGGCATGGCTGGGAAGGACTGATCTCTGGGCTTCTCCGTGGAAAGTCACTTTTAGTCACAGAAACCAATAATGAGTTAGAGGGATCAATCATCATCTGATCTTACATCATTCTTACATTTATGCTGGAAACAGTCCTTTATTCAAGACCCAGCATGGTGTAGTGCAGGGGTAGGCAACCTTTCCCCTTTAAGGGCCGAGAGACTTCAGCTGTTGGCCAATAGTCCCATGTTGGCCAATAGCTCCTGGGATTCTGGGAGCTGAAGTACCTCGGCCCTTAAAGGGGAAAGGTTGCCTATCCCTGGTGTAGTGGTTTGAGTACTGGACTATAACTCTGGAGACTGGGGTTCAATTCCCTGCTCGGCCATGAAACTCATTGGGTGACCTTAGGCAGGTCACACTCTCTCGGCCTCAGAGGAAGGCCAAGGCAAACCTCCTCTGAACAAATCTTGCCAAGAAAAGCCCAGGATAGGGTCACCTTAGGTTCACCATAAGTTGAAATAACTTGAAGACACACAAGTCCTTTATTCATTACCATGAGGACCGGAACTTTGCTCTGAGGGAAACACATGGCCCTCCAGTTCTTGTTGGTGGGCATACTTTCTGACTGCCTCCAATTGGCAAGGACAGTCTTGATTATTCCTCTGTTGTCCCATTTTTCCAAGCTATTTTTAAAAAGTCTCATTTCCCATCTCCTTCTCGCACTTTCCCCTCTTTAGACGTTATCACA